GCATTTCTGGAGAGACTGGGTTACTTCTCTTGAGACTAGTTTCATTCTCACAAGAATAGATTGTTACAAACAAGCCAGCCACAGTCCCTTGATCTCTCTTGTACACATGCTCTTTGCCTGCCTTTGCTTCCCCATCTACTTTCTGCTACAAGTTGAAGCAGCATGAAGCCCTCATCAGAAGCTAAGTATATGCTGGCATCATGCACTTAGACTTCCAGAACCTCGAGCCACAATAAACCTCTTGTTTTTATGAATTTCCCAGTCTCAAGGATTCTGTTATAGCAATAGTAAACAGACTGAGATATCGCATAAAGTGTACCCAGTCATCAGGGTATATTTCTCTGGTTATTTTCATCAGAGCACATCTTGGAGGCTGGAGGTCTGAAGGCAAACTGGCTCAGGTTAGAATTCCTTCCTGGGAGAGCAGTTGAGCCAGCTGATGAACTCTTACTTAGAGCTGGCAGTCTTGTCAAACAAAGGGCAGAGTCAGTTCTGTAATCCTTTAGCAGGAAGCAAAGCTTGCCTTCCTGTAATCCTTACTCCAGAACATTCAGATCTATTTCCTTCCTGGTGGTATAATGGTACCAAAAAAGTCAAATTTAGATACTTTGTCCTTTGAAGGATAATGTTGGTGTCTCCATCCAAGCCAACAACTCCATATGCAGGCAGATGTGCACACGCACACACTTAGGTCTATGTGCCCTGCGTACATGAAGACCATGAAAGGCATTCAACTCTCTCAGAAATCAGGAAATGTTGGCTCATTGCTTTTGTTAATGACATTTTCATTTTGGCTCTTTTTAAATGAATTTCCACAGTCTGAACATTGAGGGATTAGTCTAGGCCCCCTGTGGTTACCACCTAGCTGTTGTCACAGCCCCTCTGGGCCTCGATTTTCTCAGCTGTAAGGAGACTCCTCTGATGACTTGTGGCTCTAACATACATTGCTTTTTTTATTATTTTTATTTTAGTTGTAAGTGGATACAATACCTTTATTTTATTTTTATGTGGTGCTTAGGATAGATCCCAGAGCCTCATGTGTGCTAGGCGAGCACTCTACTGCTGAGCCACAACGCCAGCCCTATTGCTTTTTTTTAAGCACTGAGAATTGAGCCAGCCAAAGATACCTGAGCTTGGGGCTGGGCATTTTATTTTCACCCTGGAGGGAGGGATACAAAAATAAATAGAATACGTGCCTCTAAAAATTCAGGACTTTAAATCCTCAGGTATTAATTAATATCTTGTGGCTGTCAAACTCCATAGGGGCACCTTGGCCTACTGCGCAACCTGGAGACCTCCCAGTCCTGCTCTTTTATTCAGCCACAATTGGACATTTTGAGAAAAATCAACCCAGCAATCTCCTCATGTCTTTTTCTTTGACAATCATGAACTCCTGTGGTATATTTTTTTACCATCACATTTTTTTAGAAATTTACCCAGTCTCCCTTCTCAGTTCTTACTGCCCTGTCTTCTGGCTGGATTTTTTTTTTTAAAGTAGGCCCATGTGCAATGCACTATGACTCTTTTGGGGGCTGTTCTAGAACTACATGGGCCCTTGGCTCTGAATTTTGTTTAGAGTTGCCTTAAAAGATGTCTTATTTAAGCCAGGTACTGTGGTGCTCTCTTGTAATCCCAGTGGCTAGGGAGGCTAAGGCAGGAGGATTGCGAGTTCAAAGCCAGCCTCAGCAATTTAGCAAGACTCTAAGTAACTCAGCGAGACGCTGTCTCTAAATAAAATACAGAAAAGGACTGGGGATGTGGCTCAGTGGTTTAAAAAAAAAAGTATTATTTAGAAATGGAGCATCTTTTCTCATCTAAAGAAACATAAAGACTGTTGAGATTGGTGGAACTAGAGAAAGTGAAGTCATTCAAGAGAAGAAAAGAAGAAAAGAAAATTCCCCTCTGCTAGTAAGTTAGCAAAGGAAGCACCTGACCAGTGCTGATCCAGTATGGTAGATGCAAGACAGCTCACAAAGTTTCCCTTTCTTTCAAAAGGGAACCACCTTCATGATGGCCGCTGCTCCAGACACAAACACACCCCTCTGCCTCCTCCCTTTCCACATCCATACTGGGACCACACTTTTCATACATTGCCTGTTAATGCAACATTTTCTGTCTTCCCTCCCCACCTCCCTTCTTCCTTCTCTCCCTCTCCCCACCCCCTGCTGTGCTCTGTCACATTTTATGTATCTGCTACATGCCAAACTAGTACAACATTAAGGGATGTATTTTTCTTTGCCCAGTAATCTTGGAAAATACTATGACTTGTAATTGTCTTTGTTTGTTTGTTTGTTTTTTTAATTTGGGGCCATGTGGTTTGAGGCAAGGTTGCTGGGGTAATGTCCTCCACTAGAAGAAACTCACGTGAAATTGGTTATAGAAAGTTTCAGACCAACAAGGAGTGACCAAGACGTCCAGGGGTAGGCGTTGTTGGGATTTAACTGGAAAGAATTAGGCCACAGGGTGTTGGCAGTTTCATGAATAAGAAATAACTCTGATTCTGAGGTACAGGAAGGTTAATTGGCAGAGTTTCAGTGATGACTTCATTAAGTAAACATACATCTGTCCCTGGTATAATTTACATAAAGACAGAGAAGGGAGGAAAGAAAAGGAAGGAGTTGGTGGAGAGCTGGAAGGGACTGACACAGGGGATAGAGGAGTGGTAAACCCGGAGCCAGAAACCCATTCCCAAATCCATACACTCAGTAGAGGGCCTGTATGCAAGGGGAGGTGGCCCTTAGAGCAGCTTGCCTTCTTTTTTTTTTTTTTTTTTTGATACTGGGATTGAACCCAGAGATACTTTACCACTGAACTACATAGGAAGCCCTTTTTATTTTGAGACAGGGTCTCACTAAATTGCTTAGGGACTGGGTAAGTTGCCAAGGCTGCCTCAAACTTGCAATCTTCCTGCCTCAGCCTCCCAAATTGCCGAGATTATAGACATATGCCACTGCACCCAGCAGCAGCCTGCTTTTTTATGATAAAAGTTTGTCAGTACTCATATAGACAATACAGAAAAACATTAAGAAAGAAACACATGGGCTGGGGATGTGCCTCAAGCGGTAGCGCGCTCGCCTGGCATGCGTACGGCCCGGGTTCGATCCTCAGCACCACATACCAACAAAGATGTTGTGTCTGCCAAGAACTGAAAAATAAATATTAAAAAAATTCTCTCTCCTCTCTCACTCTCTCTTTAAAAAAAGAAAGAAAGAAAGAAAGAAACACATGTATATACTCATAATTTTACTAGTCAGAGGTTACCACTTTAAATTTATTACTTTCTAGTCTTTTTCTGTAAAGGTTATAGCATGGTAAGCTCATACTGTAGCTGCAATTTGATACCCATTTTGTCTGGCAGGATGGATCTTTCATGTTGGTTAAGAACATGTTGCGGGTCAGACAGCCTTGGGCCTGACTCCCATCTCCTGCCTCACTTGATAGCCTGGTGACCTTGGGAAATGCCTTTATATCTCTAAGCATCAATTATTTCAATGGCAGAATGGGCATACTAATATCACCACCTCATAGAGTTTTTGTAAGGATTAAATAAAGTCAGAAATTACTCCTTCTGTTTGTGAAATCACTTCCTCCTAAGAAAAAGAATATTAATTCAGCATTTATAGATGAGAGAGAACAGTTTGGTAAGGTTGCTTGCCTAGTGTCCACAGCTAAGGATGGCAAGAGATTAGTAGTGACAGATATTAGAATCCCCACATCTTGCCGACCATGCTATACTGTTTAACTCAGAGGAAAATGGCTGGCTCACCCAGCTACTGAAAAGCAGTGCTGAAAATTTACTGAATCCAGAACCTATATGCTATGAGAGCCCTCCAAAAATTCCTTGTAGGTCTGCTATTGTCTGAGTTTTACTTAAAACCATTTCTTCCTGTGGCCCTGTACTACATTTAGTACTGGTGAGTCAGAGCCAGGACTGGGCATGTGTGTTTGCTGGTCCCTGTGGTAATGACACAGTAATATGTTTTCAAAGACCAGAAGAGTCTCTGGAGCTTTCCTAGAATCACAAATATATGATGCCCAGAGAAAGTGAGGAGAGGAGGTATCAACAGCAATATGGATCATGTGTTCCAACGCTCCCCATTCCTATCCTATTCCTATTCCTTAATGATTTTAACATTGAGATGGTTTTACCTTGCCCTTGGCCCTCACCCTTTTGCCCTTGGCATAACTAAGATGATACCCTTGCCGGATTCCCCAACTACTTATTAATTCACCAAGTTGAGCCCATCCATCTCCCTTCTACAGTCAATCCTGGATGACAAGGAAATGCCTGGCTATCTGGAACCAGATCAGGAATAAATGCCATTGATTACAGTTGATTATATTGATGCCTCCATCACCTACAGAGTGACAGTGTGTGAGAGATAAATAAATAGTAGCCAATTTGCAAAACAAAACAAAAAAAACCTCTATTCCAGTTTATCACATGTGACATCGTACATCTGATCCATGAGGGACCTCAAAAATGGTCTGCCAGCCTCAGCATAGAAAGGGGTAGAAGAAGGTATAGAACCTGAACTGGCTGCAGCAGACCCTCAGCCAGCATTTTGTTGAGATCTCTCACCGGCAGCAGATCTGATTTTTTTGTCTTCATAGTGACTCTCTTCAAATCACTTGGTTATTCAGCAGATTAAATCTTAATTGCAAATGTGGTTTCAGCGTAGGAGTACCATTGTGCTTGCTGGTTTCAGGCCATTTTTGCTGAGCTGTGCTTTTCCAGAAGGCTGTTACAAATTTAGAAAGGGGGAAATAGTGTTTCATTTGTCGATCAGAATTTTATTATGCCAAATGAATTTATTCTAGTATTTGTTTAGAGGTGCCAAAAGCTGACATCCCTGGAGAGAGAATTGCTCATTTTTTTGTTTTTGGAGAGATTCTCCAAATTGTCCACGCTGTGTATAGAAAATATTGTCTGTGGTCCTTCTGTGAGAGGACAATTTGCCAACAGTCTTATCTGGTCTAATTTTGATTATTTTTTTCAGAGGCCCAAGAAACCACCACCTCCATCTGCTCCTGTCATCAAACAAGGCGCAGGTAATAAATATACCTTTCAATTCAATAAAATAAAGTTGCACATCTTTCTTTTGCATATATTCAAATTGTCCATGGTAGAGCTCAAGATTCCTGGATTCAAATGCCACAGATTACCACATTGGGAAATTATGATTTGGTCTCAGCAGGCAGGTTTCAAATATACTGCTGCTTTTCCTAAACAAACAAACTAAAATCACTAAAACATGTCCCTGATACTGTGCAAAAATGGGAACTCCCCAAGAGAATGGTCAAAAGAACTTCAAAATAAATGAGTTTTGTGTTTTGTTTTTAATAAACTCCTTTTGAAGAGAGAACCTAATATTGTCCTGCTTCCCCTGTGCCTAATGGAGAGAGTCAGCCTAGGGAAGATTGTTTCCCATGGGCCATAGTGTCATTGCACACATATGGCCTTGCTGGATTTTCAGTGTCTGTCCTCTGTGGTTAACTAAAATTTGTACTTCCCTCACTTATCCATCCCCCAACAAAAAGATGGTTGTTTTTAGCCATGAATACTTTTAATTCCCTGTTCTTTTTTAAACTTGAAGAGTCTAATTCACTTTTTCTGTATAATTCAGATATTAAGATTGAATAATATAGCAAGAATTGATGTTACTAGACTTTTGGTAACTCATTGCACATGAGATTTTCATACATAAAGAGAATAGTTCATATTTCCCAACAGAACTCCTCTTTAAAATTGTTACAGTAAATTATGGGGAGAAATTCCTCCATGAGTAACTAGCTAGGTAAGTGGCATTTTAAAAAGTAACAACTAAAACAGAATAGTAGGGGTATTTTTAGTTCTATAAACTCACAGTTATGATATTTCTATAGCATTTAAAGTATGAGTAAATTTCCAGATTGTTTATACATTTATTAAGAATTTTTTAAAATGATTTTTGACCCACCAAGTTGGGGAGAAAAAATTAACTTGACCCCAGATTCCTTTGCCGTTCCCTCAGGCATAATTGAGAATTACAGAGATTAAGCCCTGAAATGGGATGTTAATTACATCTCCTGCTTGGCCTTCATCTGTGCTGGCATTGAACAGTTCCATTTTGCCACCTAGTGGTTCTGGCTATATAAATATTTTATTGTGTTGAGATTAAAACAGGCTATTTATGTGTTTTTCTCTGAGAACCCTTTCTCCTGGAGGCCTTGGTAACCATTGGAGACTAAGGAGATAGATCAAGTGGTCCACGGCTAAGGCAGCCTAGAATGTAGGCAACTAAGATTGGATTCTTCAAGATGGTCCAATTGTTGATTTTTTCTTGTATCTCTAAGAATGACAGTGAACTTCTTCATTAGCATTAGGAGACTACATTGGTAGCATGGTAGGCAAATTCTTATCCTTTTGAAACAATTTCACCAATATTGTGAAGGGACTCTGGGGGGGCAAAGCAAAATGGCATTTCATCTTCCTAGACTACTTCTGCTAATTTATGAAGGATCTTGGGAACTGATTTGAAGTTAGGAGGTAGAGAGTTATTAAAGGGATTCAGATGAAGTATGTGTTCAGTAGATTCTTCCTTGTAGGTCCTGGAATTTCTACCATTGTACTACACTCCCAGAACCTTTTATTATTATTTTTTTAATTTTAAGACAGGATTCTCTCTAAGTTGCCTGGGCTGGCCTTGAACTTGTGATCCTCCTTCCTCAGCCTCCTGAGTAACTGGGATTATAAGCATGTGCCATAGCAACCAGTTGTGAATATTTTTTTAAGGTTCTCTTGGCCTCAGAGGCTGTGTAATTGAGATTTTAATACCAAGCACCCATTTTAGAGCTGGTCATGTGAAAAGGCTGTCAGGCACTCAACCATGTCTATAAATAAGAGAAATATTTTTGATTGGTTTGTGCTCTAGTTATTTCTGAAGTTCTCTTATATGCCTGAGGCTAATGGCACCAGTAAGGCTAATGGCACACACAGTCTTTATTTTACTTTCTGTGGTGCTCAGGTAAGGGAGCAACTACAGTCTGCATGGGTAAAGATGAAATGCAAAGTGGTGCATTTAGGAAAATATAATACTTGAGAGATTCAGCAGAAAGAGAAGAGATGTAGAGAGAAGCAATGTAACATCTCTGCACATCCTTCAACTTAAAATTTTGTTGTAGGTACTACTGCTGTATTACAAGCCACTCCAATTTTAGTGGCAGAAAATAAGAATCTTCTTATGCTCACAGATACTGTGGGTCAAGAATGTGAATGGGGTATGGCCTGCATGACTATTCCATCAGGTCTAGGCCTCAGTTGGAAAAGCTGGACTAGCTGAGGCTGGAGGATCCACCTGGAAGTTGGCTACTTCACTCACATATCTGGCTTCCCATGGCAGGGGTACCTGGAAGACTGGGCTCAGCTGAGCTTGTAAGCCATATCTACGTATGGCTTCTGCAGGATAGTTGTCTTCTTACATGGAGACAGACTATTATTCTAACAAATAAAGTATTAGCTACATGGACTTTTATGAGTTGCTTTGGAAATTACATAGTATCACTTCAACCACTGGCCAAAGCAGTTACAAACCTGTCCACATTCCTGGAAAAGAGATATAGATCTCGCCTCTTAATGGGAGGTTTATCAAACAATTCCAAGCCATGTTTTAAAACTACTACAAGATGGAATCCAGTTCCCTGTGAAATCACTTATTATTATAGAGCACAATATCCAGTGACCCCTTATTTTTGAATTTTGATGAGTGACTCTATATGTTCCCCATCCCTACTTAGTGACTATTTTTATGCCTAAGGAAGCCAGGTTTAAATATCAGAAAATGTTAGTGGTGTTCTTATGAATAGAGAATGTATAGGCAAGCAAACATAATGAAATGGGCTAGAAATGACTTTTGCTCTGTTTCTAAGCAACTCATGTTAGCCAAGTTATGCCAGCATCCACTCAAGAGGAAAAAAATCAATTGACTTTCCTATACCTGATAAATACTGAAATGCTGGTGTGTCTTATAAATGAATAGAGAAAATATTTTTTGATAACTCTTGTCCTTTCCCTCCCAGGTACAACAGAGAGAAAACATGAACTTAAAAAGATACCTCCTGAAAGACCAGAAACGCTGCCAAACAGAACAGAAGAAAAAG